AGTTTCACTTCTTCCTTTCCTATCTTTATTCCTTTTATTTCTTTCTCCTTTCTAATTGCTGTGGCTAATGTTTCCAGAACTATATTGAACAGCAGTGGTGATAGTGAGCTGCCCCTATTTCTATACCCCCCTTTCTGCCCAAAATGTCACCTATTTTTGTTTCAATTCCCTTTCAAGCCAGAAGCTCTTGGCATTTAATCCCCCAGGGGGCCAATAAGTGATGGGAACTGGTGGATATGTGGCCCCGCTCTCTCTCGCTTGTCCAGAAGCGACAACCCCAGGGGTGTTTGACCACACTTCCCAGAGCTCTTCAGTTCCCTGCTTCCCGGTATAAACTCCAGTTTCCCGCAGTGGGAACTGGCTCGGCGTTCCAGTCTTTATTAGCTTCTTTCCCTTCCTTGCCTCAGCCCGCCATCCCCTACTGAAACTGGCTCCCACAAAGTATTTATAGGGTCTGCTTCTTGGAGAAATCACACAAGGCAGAGCATTGTTGTTGCAGTTTTTAGAAGTGAATCTGGGGCTGTAAAGAGTGTAAGGTACTTAAAATGCCTCGAAGGTGGATGCTATTGGTTCAGAGATAAAGAAGCCTTAGAGGCCATGGGTGTCTGTGTGGATGTCAGACTGACTCTGGATGTCATAAATGGTGACCTAGAAGGGAAGACCGTGGACCAAGTGCCAAGGTTTTCCACAATGTGGGAGAGAGATCAGAAGGTCTGTAGAGGACCATCGTCTACTGAGGATGGAGTGGATTGGTGAGGTGGCGTGAAGCAAAATCGAAATTTTTACAGGATGGAGAGAAAGTGATGTCTAGGCACAGGAAGAGAGATTGAGGACAACACTGACACGCACTCGCAGATGCAGGGTATGTGGGAGAAAGAGCAGCCTCTCTGTGAGTAGAGCTTTCCAAGAAAAGCACAGGGGCCCTCTGTGGAGACACCTGGGAAGCTGAAGACAAGGACAAGAGGTTCCAGATGAGCCAGAGAATGACACAGAGAAAGGTATGAGTTAAGGGAACAAATGTCCACCGGAGAGGGTGTGCCAGGCAACGCCTCAGAATGAAAGTCTCCAACCCCCTTCTGAGACGGCCTCTGGTACAATTCCATGAACCCGAGCCCATGGTCACCAGCAGCCCACCTGGGGTGGAATTGGAGAAACTGAGGCAGCAGGCCAGTTCTAGAGGCAAACTACTGCTCCACACTGCCTCTAGGGCCTCAGGAGGGACCAACTTTGTAACTACATCATGCAGTATTGGAACTTCTACAAAACTCTGATGCACAAAATTCAGTCGTGTGGAAATATACAAAATAAAATAGCAAAACTACTACTAGTGTGCCTGTGGTCTTTCACCATTGCACCTTTTTAAAATCCCAGGCCTCTATTTTTAGTTCCAGATTCTATCAAAGCAAACAGAATTAGCATCTAGCAGGATGACATTAAAAGGATTATCATTATCTCCTCAGGGTTCATTTCGAAAAGGAATCTGCTGTGTTGCAATGCTGAGTCGGGTCCATCTGGGATCGATATATCTGGAAGGAAGCAGAGGATGGAAGTAGGTCATAACTCCTCCCATCTGGCCTGAAATGAGCTCGGCACCCTGCTCCACTTCAGCAAGAGTCTCGCTACAAGCTGGGCAACTGGAGAGTCTGCAGCCGGAAAGTGGGTTCTTCCCTCCACTCTGCATCTGTGGGTTCAATCAACTAGAGGTGGAGACTGTGTGAAACATAGTCACCTCCATACTGAACATGTACAAACTGGGTCCCCAAGCAATATAACAATGATTTACATATCATTTACATTGTATTAGATATCATGAGTAATCTAGAGATGATGTAAAGCACACAGGAGGGTGTGTAGGTTCTATGCAATCTGTACCATCTTATATAAGTCACTTGAACATGCACAGATATTGGTATCCAAGCAGCATCCTGGAACCAGTGCCCTAAGGACACAGAGGGAGAACTGCATACTCACAGTGTCTCTAAATTAGCATCTGTGTCATCAAATGGAGGCTTTTGACTCTGTGTGGGATGTTGTGAATCATAGGCCAGCAGAGCTTTACTTGAGCAAATACACAGAGTCTGCAGAGGGAAGGGGGTACCCCTCGGGGAATCCATACTCACCATCTACATGCAGGACAAACCCCCTTAGGCACCCAATAAAACAAATGCTGTGTCCCAAAATGAACATGGCTGCATCCTTCCTTCTGAGGCCTGCAGTCATGAATGACTTCACAGATGTTTATGTGATCATGTGGCTCACTCCCCAAACAAACTAAAAGGGAGGGAAATACCGACAGATCAAAAAGGAGTGTAGGGCTGGTAGATCCTGCAGGCTCTGCCAAAAAGGACGGCCTCTCGGGCCTGTGGGGTCCCAGGAGCAGAGATGAAACCGTAAACCCCACCCATAGCCACTACATCAGCGGCACTGAGACCCTGCCAAGTCACTGATTTGCTTTCTCAAAAGTCTGCTGCCTAAAGTCACCGTACTTGCTTCCTGAAGCCGTCCAATATAGATGACTCTGTGAGCCACACAGATTTCTGCACAGGTCTACAGCCTCTGGGATCTTAGGAGACAAGGCCCTTGGCTCTGTGCTGGGAGGGCTTTTCTCTAAGAGGAAGTAGGGGTAGAAAAGGGGGCGCTCCTCTTGGGCTGTCATAAAGGTCATGGCCAGAGTTACCACATCGAAAGTCAGGTTACTAAGAAAAGAGAAGGCTTTGTGTTGAAGACCCCGAAGACTCAGGGTGAACTTCCCATTTTGATTCTGAGATTGGATGAGCAATGGACTGCAGCGCGGAAATGTGATTGGACCAAAACTATCTGAGTTAATGGAAATGGACTGGTGGGAAACCCAGCAGAGGCTGTCTGCTCCGTCTCTGCACCCTCCTTGCTTCTGGGTGCAGTGCAGGGTCTTCAGAAATGGGAGTCTTCTGATGCACTGTCAGACAAGGTGGGTCAGAGAATTTCTTCACGGTGAGCTCCAAGGCGGGAAGGCTGGGAAACAGTAGAGCAATGATTCTAGTTCTTATAGCTGGCTTTGAGGGAAGGGGGTGTCTTTGGCTGCCTTGGAAAGTGTTCCTGTTTCTCTGGTGTGCCTTGCAAAATGGATGAGGGGTAAGAGACAGGAGAGCAGAAGATCAGAGAGAGACTGCTTCTGAGGACGTCACTTTCATTTTCTGACCCCCAACAAGGAGAAAGCATTATTCTGCGTGGTGAATTTTGAGGAAATGAACATTAGAAAAACTGCAGCAAGGTCCTTAGGTAATGGCACAGATCCTATTGCAATACCTTCCTCTCTTTGTGCTATTTTTTTCCAAGCTGTGAAAAATTAACATTAAGCCACAATGGGAGCCCACCACTTCGAATAAGAAGTATTTCACTATACTGACTGTAGGCATTTGAAAGGCAGCCATTGGCCCAAAGGATACAAAGAATTCTCATCTTATTTATGGTCAGATGTGGTATTCAACCTGTTTTCATTATTTGTTAAAACAATTTTACTCCCTAAAGGTGCGAAAAAGCCATTGAATTCCCACAGTCCCGGTTTAGTACCAAATCATTAGTCACAACTCATGATTTCAAAAGAACAAGAAAATTTAAAAGATAAATGAGAAGAATATTTATCCAAAGAAAACAGTTCCATAAATTAGTTTGCTCATCAATGTACACCTAGCAGTCGGTTTAAATGACTTTCCCTAATTCACTGAGGTTTTTGCTTAGTTCCCCTGTAAGGAGGCAGCATTAACACGTGTTTTTACAATGGAAGGCTTTGGTATTCTAATAGGTGACGCAAACATACATGGTTACTGCTGTCCCCCACTCTATATGAAATAGACTAGCATGAGTACTTCATGTGTTTCTTGTGAAACTGGTTTATGCTTTGCATTTCAAAATGCATTTCATTTCATGTTGCTTACAAAGAGATTTATATTATATAAAAATATTCTCTACACCAGCCCAAATAAATTGTTTTAAAGTTCAAAAGAAGAGGGTGACATATTTCTCATTTTTGCTTCCAGGTCTGATGGAAATGAAAAGCAGACTGTAATAAGCAGATACCATGATTACAATGTACAGAACCTGCAGAAAGCAGTTGGCTATTTGCAAACCTGCGGTTAGGATGGAATTAATTTTTCTGCACATTAGGTATTTAAAAACAGCTGGTTTTGTTGTTGTTGTTTTTTACTGAAGGTACTTTATTCCTAAAAAAATTTTTTCCTGGGATTCACAGTAACTTTTGTACATCTTATTTGGAAAGTGCCCTTCAGACTTCCCAATTTATTCAGTTATTACAAATTTCATTAACCAATTGAGGCTCTCCTGCCCATTATTGTTACTTTGTAAAAAGAGGACTGTCATCTTACCATGCTGGCATAGGGACAGTACCCTAAGGCACCCCCTTTCACTACTGTCCTTTAGATAACCGACAGCATTTAGAAAAGTTCTGGGCAGAGAAGCAAGAGAGAGCTACTTTTAACTTTAATCTATGTAACAATTTCCGGAGGCATCACGTTTGGACAAGCACTGTGTGAGACACCCTGAGCTAAAGTATGATTCCTTTTCTTGTGGCTTTGACCTTTTCTTTGCATTTGAAACCTATCTAGATTAAAAGGTCAAGAAACCAGGTGTCATGATATCTATTCGAGGGTTTGCAAATTTCAAGGGTCTCCTTTTTATAGTTCTTTTGCTCTGGGCTTTTAAAACTGCAAGCTCTTTTGTAACCAGATATGGTTCCTAAGGGGAATGTGGCAAAATGCCAACAACAAAATCCATCCCTATCTGAGTTATAAAATGTAAAAAGTTAAATGACTTCACATTCAAGTAATAAAACAAGTTCATTTAGATATACAGAATTGCATTGAAATATCTTTATATCTACCTAGGCAAATTAGGTAAAAAGAAGTAGATCAAAAACAAATCATCCCATCAGTTAGTTTTTTCTGCATAGAAAATTATCTCAATACATAGTGGCATGAAACCATAACTTTTTATTTAGCTCGCAATTGTATGAGTCAGTAAACTGGGTTGGGCTCAGCTGGGTGATTCTTCTACTTCTCTGCTACAGTGGATCACATTGTTATGATCAGCTGCTGGCTGTGCAATCAATAGATGAGTCTTCTGGGGCTGGCTGATTCCTATCAGTCTCATTCACATTTGGCAGGAGCCTGGCTATTGAATGAAGAACCTTCCTTGTCTCCCACATGGCATCTCATCTTGCAGGTGGCTAGCTCAGGTTGGCATGGGGTTAGGGGAAGAAGACTTTCAGAACTGTTTCAAGAATGATGGGAGAAAAGAAAAACAAAAACCACATTTTCTTTATCCAGTCTCCAGTTGATGGCATTTGGGCTGTTTCCAAGTTTTACCTATTACAAATTGTGCCACTATGAACATGGGTGGACATATATCACTATGGTATGATGCTTTTAATTCTTTGGGGAAGATACCCAGCAGGAGAATAGCTGGGTCAAACGGGATTTCCAGTCATAGATGTTTGAGATATCTCCTACTGATTTCCACAGTGGTTGGACCAGTCTACACTCCCACCAGCAGTGGAGCAGGCTTCCTCTTTCCCCACAGCCCCACCAGCATTTGTTATTGGTTGATTTCCTGATAGCAGCCATTCTTTCTGGGGTGAGGTGGAATCTCAGTGTTGTTTTCATTTGCATCTCTCGAATGACCAGTGATATTGAACATTTTTCATATGTTTATTTGCTATTTCTACTTCTTTTCTGAGAAATATCTGTTCATTTCAGATGCCCATTTTTGGATTGGGTCTTTAAATTTGGGAGGTCTGATTTTTTTAAGTTCTTTATAGATTCGAGGTAGTAGACCTTTGTCTGAGGGACTGACCGCTGGTGAAAATTTTTTCCCACATTGTGGGTTGTCTCTTCACACTGCTGGTGGTTTCTCTTGCTGTGCAGAAGCTTTTTAATAAGAAGAGATCCTACATGTTGATTGTTTGTGCTAGTTCACGGGCAACTGAGGTTTTGTTCATAAAATGTTTCCTATACCAATGCCTTACCATTTCTTTATTAAAAAAAAAAGAATGATGGGATAAGTGTGTTCAAAATGGAATATTTTGAGCAGGACTAATGTCAATGTATCTTTTACTGTAATAATTGTTTTCTTTAAACATTCACCACATTTTTAGATCACACCTTATATGTGATCTTTTGTGTTTACTTTCTTTTATTTAACATATTTCTGAGATTTATCTGTATTGTAGCATGTATAGAACTTCATTCCTGTTTATGATTGAATAATACTGTGTGGTACATGTGTGCCACATTTTGTTTATTATTCACTCACTGATGAATAAAGTTTCCACTTTCTGGCTATTATGAATAGTTTTGCTATGAGTACTTATGTACAAGTACTTGAGTTCTGAGAATTTAACTTTAATTCCTTGGGGTTTATATGGTATAGAGTTGCTGGGTTATATGCCTACAATTTTGATAGCAGAAAACAATGCTCAAAAAATGTGTGTTAAATTCAACAGAACTGTTGCCTGGATGTGGATAATCGTGTGAAGGATGAGAGAAAGGACTGTAACCTTTGTATCCAGGATACTGGTCCATGGTATAGTTCTCTAATCCACATTTTAAAAAAATAAATCTTTATAATCCTGTATCATACACACACATATATCCACATTCATATGTGCAAATACATATGCACAAAGAAGACTATGTTTGGGGAAGCACTTAACAACATTTAGCAAACACTTAGTGCAAGGATTGCTTGATTCTCCTGAATGTGAATTTTCACTTCTGGATATATTAATTTCTTGTCCAAAATGAGGCAGAGCTTTCCTACCTGCATCTCTTGCTATGTTTTGTCTCCAGCTTTGTCATGTGGTTTCATTTCTCCTGCGACTTGAAGGAGCAACTGAAGATTCCGACTGAAACTGATGCTTGCCATTTAGTGTTTTTCAAGTATTCAAACAATGTAGACAGCATTTTTAGCTCACAGGCAGTATAAAGACAGATAGAGGGCCAGGTTTAACCTACAGGCAGTGGTTTGCTCTGCCCCTGTGTACCCCATGCCATATCATGCCTCACTGTCCTGTATTTAAGGGCTATGTCTGGGAATGTATTTCAATTTTTTTCCCCAAGGTCTGAGCACATACATTTTCATAGATAGAAAATATACCTTGGATGTGGTTCTCAGGGGAGCATGTGATGGGTTGCAGATCGGAAAAACCTTCAACCCTGTGTGACAGCGAGGAACCACAGGTACTGCAGGTCATCCACTGATTCTGAGTCCTACAAATAGGAACAATAAAAGAAGAGGCAAACTAGGGATGTAGCTCAGTGGCATCGCGCCTGCCTCCCAAGCGCAAGGTCCTGAGTTTGATCCCCGGTACCAAGAAAAAAAAAAAATAGAAGAGACAAATCCATGCAATTTGGAGAACTTAGGGAACGAAGGAAGGAGACAAGCAGCTTTGAGTGAAGACATGAGGCCAAATCCCAGAAGGACAGAACAGAGCTAAGGTGAAGACGTCTGTCAGTCACAGCCATCCAGATCTGATGTCATCGATAAGACACCAAGCCCTGCGCTGGGGCCGGAGCAGCCCGAGGCCAGGAGAAGCCCCGGGAACAAAGGTGCTTCAGGAACACCCGTGAAATCAGTGGGAAAGGCCAGTTGGTCTCATTTACACTGAAAATAAGAAAATTTTAGGACTTTTTAATATTCTTTGCCTTTAGAGAGATCTAAAGAATAACTGACCTGTTGACCCACGAGAGACTCTAGAAAAAGGATCTGAACGACATATTTTAGTTTTTAGTTTGCATCAGCCCTCAGGACGCCAGCTCCTGTTCTCTGCTGGCAGCCTCCTCTAGCAGTTTGTTGCTATGATTTTTGAGAACTTGTTATAAATGTAAAATCCCACCTTTTTAATTTAAATCCACATCCACTAATTTGGTCTTCCAAAACAAACTGATAAAAAACTGGCCCGTAGTCTGCACATTAAAACCTCTCATTTACTTAAACATGGTCATTAAGCCTTCCTGAGCCTGATTTTCTCCCAACCAAATAACTCCCCACCCTTGAACCTTTTCTCACAAAGCTAATTACCGTCCTGTAAAACACTGTGTGCCTCTGGTTTCTTCACATTGTTTTAACAGCACAAACAAACCAAAAACAAAAAAACAAAAAAACAAAGTGTTTGCTCTAGGCTGGGCTGGAGCGACTCCCTCCACCCTTCCTGTTGTACTTCAGGAGACTCAGTGTCCTGCTGGCTTCTCCCCACCGAACCAATTTCTTCCCAAATTGTCCTTCAGTAAACAGACTCTGCCCCATGCAGGTCATCATGCCACTAACCCTGTCCCTTGTTGCAGTGCCAACCGCAGCAACAGAAATAGCAGCGTCTGACTTGGTGGGCCTGTGTTCACAGCTGACAACTCCCCTATGCAGCTGCTCTGTCGTTTTCTGCATTTTCAGTGAAGGATGTGGGCTTGGAGAGGTTCTGCGTCGGCCTTGAGATGTTCCCATGCATGAGTGGCGAAACCACAGCTGAATTTCTGGGTTCACTTTTAAACACTGTGCTACCTTCCTTCCTTTCTCTCTGTCTATTGGCCGCGTCTGCATTGGTCAGCTTGGGCTGCTGTAATAAAAATACAATGGATAGAGTGGCTTAAACACAGATGTGTATTTCTCACAGCTCTCGATGCTAAATCCAAGGTCAAGGCACCAGCGGATGTGGTGTCAGTCACCTTGGCTTCTTGCTGTAGCCCCACAAGGCCAAGAACAAAGAGAATACCCACTCATTGCAATTTAGAACTAATTTTTTGCAATTAGAAAATGTTTATTTTTCATTATGAAAGAGTACTGAAAGGTACATACAGCATAATACGATTTGCATATTTCATACACGTAACCCATTCCCAGCCATTGCTTCCGAAGACATAGGTGGTAAAGAATGAAGACTAACAAGCGCGATGACCATCAGGGTCCGGGTCACAGGTACGTTGGGGATCGGGAGCAGCGACTGGGAAGAGGTGCGCAAGAAGCTTTGATCTTTTTTATAGATTTCCCCTCCCCGCACACACCCGGAAGGCGCGGTGACCACTCTACGCTGCCGATTTTCTTAGCATTCTTTGACTTTTTGAATGCTTGAAATTTTTATAATTTTTAAAACGAGAAAGAAGCTAAGTGTGTGTTTGTATAATATAGCAGGGGGAAATGCTGTGGGCAAGAAGGTCTCATTCCTGAACCCCGTTCCATCAAGTCTTCTTTCTTTAACTGCAGAAAGGAAAGACTGCTACAAGTCAATGTTCTCTGTTTTCGCAAAGGACATTTTACCGGAACCTACCCAAGTTCATTCACTCCCATATTGTCTATGGCTGAGTGGGGCAGTTGCAAAAGTCCATATGACCTGGAAAGTCTGAAATATTTACTGTTCAGTTTTATAGAAAGTGTTTGCTGGCCCTTGCGGGAGAAAATCAGCCTCCTTCAACCCTAACACTTGATCATCCCAGCTAGAATATGCAAGACTTTTGCACCAAAGGTGGCTCGTGAACCCAAACATCCACACACATACAAATTACTTTAAATAAGCATGTAAATTACACAAGACTGAAGAAACGTAATTTGCTATTGTTCTGGAGGATATGGGCACAGCCATCTTCCCCTGAGAAGAATAAACCCTGAATTGAATGAAAGGAAAATCCAAAGTCCCCAAGCACAGATTCTAATGCTGTATGTATGTAAGTGTTTATGTTTTGTAGATTTTGAAGCAATGTTTTAGACTAGGTAATAAATTTTAGATAAAATTTTTAGTGGGGACAGAGGACACGGTAAGCAATTCACTCATCAAAAGAGCGATACTTAATTGTGGTCTAGAGCAGGAATTCAACAGTCAGAAGCCAAGGACTACAGCTCTGGTTTGTACCTTCTGTGGGGGGTGTCTGGGGCAACTTCTGTTAACCCCTCTAAGTCTTAGTTTCTTCATCTATGAATTGTCCCATATTAATATTTAATTCCTTGAGTTGTTTTGAGGACTAAATTATATCTTTTATATACAGCACTTAGCATTATACTGAATAAACTTTAACCATTATTAGTTGGACGTGTGTAGGACACAATATAACTTCTGAAATGGGTTTCAAAGTACAGCTTCTAGTACAGGATAGGAGAAAAGTGGGAGAAGGAGGGTAGTTATGCATATAGCGGACCCTTGAGTTACGACTGGCCTGACATGAGTACCATTGGGTTACACCTGGAAATTTAGTTTTAACTTATAACCAAAGTCTTGAGTTACAACCTGAATGCTAGCTGCTTGTGCTTCCAGATGGTCTCAGATACAGATTTAACCCTTAAAGAGTTCTGGAAAGAACATTACAACTTCCTTTCCTGTGTGGGGTAAACTGAGAAATCCTGAGCCAATGTCTCTCTAAGGACACTGAGATCTGCCTGTGTATAGGAGAGAGACTTTGAAGGCTTGTGTAGAGGAGCCAGAGCCTTCAATTGACCAACTTGAGTTGCAACCAGCCCTTGGGGGGAGAAATGAGTTCATAAGTCAAGGATTCACTGTATCTGTTCCAGGTGAGACATAGACTAAAAAACTAAAGCACGTTGTCTTCAAGGTTACTAGATGGCTATAGCATCCAACGGACACAGAGCAAAAGCATTCCTGTCACCCTGAGATGGAACTCACCATCAAAAATGTTTGGACAGTTCCTGACTATTCCATGGAGAGAAACACAGGATCCCTTTCTGGCTTCCCAAGTTCAACACACAATCATGATTGCTGCTATGGCTTGCATGTCTTTGTCCTTCCTAAAACTCACGTGGAACTTCACTTCCCATGCATTGTTTTGGGAGATGGTGCAAAGGATTTTACTGCATGATTTCTAAGCACCTAATAAGAAATGCTAAGGTCACTAGAACAGAGGCGCTTTATAATCCATTTTATAACAAATTAATATTACTCTAAAAAGAGAGGTTGGAGTAGGTTGTCTGCTGCTCTTCTGCCATGGAAGAACATGATGTTCTTTCCCTCCAAAGAACCCAACATGCAAGGTGCCATCTTGGAAGTGGAAATGTCTGGCCCTGATCTCCCAGCTTCTTCATCTTGAATTTCCCAGTATCCAGAACTGTGAGAAAATAAATTTCTACTCTTTATAAATGATCCAGCCTTGGGTATTTTGTGATAGCAGCACAAAACAGACTAAGACAATGACATTGACTCATAATCAATTAGTAGTGACTGAAAAAAGAAAAAAGAAAAACACAGGCAAAACCAAACCATACTGCAGACAGTACTTCCAGTGTGACTTTGGGCAAGTTACTTAAGTGCCTTGAATTATTTCCTCACTGAACATCACTAACTCGTAGAAAAATAATATTAACTGCATGCTTAATGTTATATTTTCAGTTAGTCACATTAAAGAAAGTAATGAGAGGACAAAAGTAATTTAATATTTTATTTAACCCAATATCTCCAGAGTATAATGATTTCACATGTAATCAACATAAAATATATTGACATATTTGTCATTCTTTCTTTTATTACATTCTTCTTTTATAGTAAGACCATAAACTTGGTATGTCATTTTATACTCCTAGCACATCTCAAGAGTGATGCAGGCTTGTTTGCTATCTGGCTGACAGCTACCATATTGGAGCATGGTAGTCAAGAAGACACCTAGCTCTTAGAACACCACTGATTCTAAAGTTACACTTTAGGGTGGGGACTTCGGCAGGACAAAACCTGTGCACCACTGGTCCATATATAAAGATGTAAACTATGCCAACAAATGATAGTGTATCAATAAAAGGGTGAAGGTTTGAGCTCAGAATTCAGGAAGACTTCCGCCAAGAGGAAGCTCCCATAATAAGAATTAAAATGATTAAAACAAATAATTGATAATTTGAAAGAGGAAGAAAAGGTCTGGAGGGGTAGGGGAAAGGAAAGGAGGGAAAGGAAAAATTATGAGAAAAGAAAAAAAATGGAAACAAAGTCTATGTAAATAGGGAAGGGTGGAGGCGGTGAAGGGCGCACAGGTAATGGGGAAAAAATAAGAATCAAGATACATCATCTACAGGTACAAGCATCCAATGATAAATGTAAACGTATTGTATACCTAAAATGTACCAGTAAAAGAATTTAAGAACAACAAAAAAAAAGCCACCAAAGAAGGTGAGCAATGTAACTTGCATCTGAAGACACTGAGTGGTTCTCTGTTAAACTGAAAAAAACTTACTAGATTTTCTTTTATTTCTTTCATCAGCACTTTGTCATTTAGCAAAAACCTGTTCAAGAATGTTTACTGCAGGGCCGGGGATTTAGCTCAGTGGTTCCACTGCCTCCCTCGCAACCACAAGGTCCCGAGTTCAATCCCCAGTACCAAAAAAAAAAAAAAAAAAGAAAAAGTAAAGAACGTTTATTGCAGCTCTTATTCATAACAACCAACCCCTGAGAACCCCAAATATGTCTCAGTGGGTGAATGGGTAAACAAACTGTGGGAAACCCATACCATAACTCAGCCCCTTAAAATGGAATAAACCACTGAGATCCACAGTACCTTGGTGACATCTCAAGAGAATTATGCTGAGTGAAAAAAAGTGAATCTCAAAAAGTTATAATTCCACATATGCCACATTTTCAAAATAAAATCATGGAGATGAAGAACAGATTCGAGATTGCCACACTGTGTGGGGTGGTGAGGGAGAAGCTGGGTGTGGGTAAAACGATACCAGTAATAGGGGGAAATCTGGTAGAAAAAGCATATTATGCACCCTGAATGTGGTTGTGGTGAGCTGAATACATCTACTTGATAAGATTGCACAGAACTTTACACACACACACACACACAAATGTTTGTAAAACTGACAAAAGCAGAATAAACCTATACAGATTGTACCGACATCAGTTTCCTGGTTCTGATCATACACTTTCCATAGGATGTGACCATTGAAGAAGGCCAGGTGAAGGGTATGGGGCCTCTCATTTTTTCTTTATTTACAACTTCCTATGAATCTTGAATTTTTTTCATTTAAAAAGATAAAATTACAGGGCCGGGGATTTAGCTCAGTGGTTTTGCCGCCTTCTGCGCATGCACAAGGACCCAAGTTCGATCCCCGGTACCAAAAAAAGAAAAAAGAAAAAAAAAAGAAAAATTACATCCACAAAGAAAAGATCTTTAGGAAAAGTAAAAGCTTCTTGACAGACATTACAGAAAGCAGCTCCCATCAGAACCCAAGAAGGGCCTTCTCAATGAAGAAGGACGAGATTGATCCAACTTCCATGTCTCGAATCTTGAATAAACACATGGGCACAAGGAGATAAATGGTTGATTATTGTGCAGACCAAAACATTTCTAATCCCAGAGCCCTGAGCTCCAGCAACAGCACTTTACAGCCTTCCAGATCCACAGAGTGTGTCTCATGGCCTTGGTGAGCCAAGAAGCTGCATACTGATCATCACGGGATGATGTGACACCTAACTTCAGAAATCTAAAAGAAGGGGACTTGTTATAAAATCCATACTAGGGGTTTGTTATTTGGCTTTTGTTAAAACTACAGCTTATGAGTAATCTACTTATTCTCAGGCACTCAAAGCAGTGTTCAAACATTGCATTTTTAAAATTTATAGTA